GGATTATACTTCAAAAAACAAACAGATAGGCTAAACGAAACTTTTGTGGCACTAATCGCTCCATCACTGCTTGATCGATCAATCTGAATACTTTTATGTTTTATCCTAATCATGTAATTTAACAATCTCATTATTCGGCAGTGGACTCATTGGAAAGCATAAATTATGAGGTTTCTGTCAGTATTTTTTATGCTTGTATGATAAAAACTCCTGGAGATATTAATCCAAATAAATGACATATTTATCGAAATCATGCTGGGCTTTGCTGGCGCAAGTTTTATTGAAGAGACCTACGCCTTCACTTCCAGCAAATTGTGCGCAAAAAAATTGTGGGTACCTGCTGAGGATACACACATGCATCCTTTAAAATTCTCTGAATGAAGGACTCTTTTCTTGGTAGAGTTTCAAGGATCCTTGACATTGGAACAGTCCTTAGGCGGAATTTGATGATGTAGCATCCTTGACATTCAGCCATTTAAAGATCTTGTCTTGACTTTGAGAAACACCTAGTATCTTGGCCTCCCCTTCAACTCTTTATCGCCCCCCTGTGGAGGATTTTGTAGTCCTTGTCATTTTACAAACCACATCCTGTGATTTACCAGGCTGTTCTCATGCACTGGTCACACAAATACCTTCAAAAAGTAATGCACCACATTTGTATGTAATCAACGTAATCAGGAAGGCTGTGATTACTTAACAATTGCACTGACGAGAGTAAACAAGGAAGTACTGTTAGGAGCGAAAGTCCATATGAACACAAAGTAGGGTGGTGGATGAGTAAAACAGCACAGGACTTTCCCCAGAAGACCAGTGTCTGTGTGAAACCAGGAGAACTTTGAGTTATTTTGAGGTGCGCTGCCACCATGTTTCTTTTCCTAAACCTAACCTACGTACAGTACAGGCCAAAAGTTTGGACACACCTTCTCATTCAATGCGTTTTCTTTATTTTCATGACTATTTACATTGTAGATTCTCACTGAAGGCATCAAAACTATGAATGAACACATGTGGAGTTATGTACTTAACAAAAAAAGGTGAAATAACTGAAAACATGTTTTATATTCTAGTTTCTTCAAAATAGCCACCCTTTGCTCTGATTACTGCTTTGCACACTCTTGGCATTCTCTCCATGAGCTTCAAGAGGTAGTCACCTGAAATGGTTTTCCAACAGTCTTGAAGGAGTTCCCAGAGGTGTTTAGCACTTGTTGGCCCCTTTGCCTTCACTCTGCGGTCCAGCTCACCCCAAACCATCTTGATTGGGTTCAGGTCCGGTGACTGTGGAGGCCAGGTCATCTGCCGCAGCACTCCATCACTCTCCTTCTTGGTCAAATAGCCCTTACACAGCCTGGAGGTGTGTTTGGGGTCATTGTCCTGTTGAAAAATAAATGATCGTCCAACTAAACGCAAACTGGATGGGATGGCATGTCGCTGCAGGATGCTGTGGTAGCCATGCTGGTTCAGTGTGCCTTCAATTTTGAATAAATCCCCAACAGTGTCACCAGCAAAACACCCCCACACCATCACACCTCCTCCTCCATGCTTCACAGTGGGAACCAGGCATGTGGAATCCATCCGTTCACCTTTTCTGCGTCTCACAAAGACACGGCGGTTGGAACCAAAGATCTCAAATTTGGACTCATCAGACCAAAGCACAGATTTCCACTGGTCTAATGTCCATTCCTTGTGTTTCTTGGCCCAAACAAATCTCTTCTGCTTGTTGCCTCTCCTTAGCAGTGGTTTCCTAGCAGCTATTTGACCATGAAGGCCTGATTGGCGCAGTCTCCTCTTAACAGTTGTTCTAGAGATGGGTCTGCTGCTAGAACTCTGTGTGGCATTCATCTGGTCTCTGATCTGAACTGCTGTTAACTTGCGATTTCTGAGGCTGGTGACTCGGATGAACTTATCCTCAGAAGCAGAGGTGACTCTTGGTCTTCCTTTACTGGGTCGGTCCTCATGTGTGCCAGTTTCGTTGTAGCGCTTGATGGTTTTTGCGACTCCACTTGGGGACACATTTAAAGTTTTTGCAATTTTCCGGACTGACTGACCTTCATTTCTTAAAGTAATGATAGCCACTCGTTTTTCTTTAGTTAGCTGATTGGTTCTTGCCATAATATGAATTTTAACAGTTGTCCAATAGGGCTGTCGGCTGTGTATTAACCTGACTTCTGCACAACACAACTGATGGTCCCAACCCCATTGATAAAGCAAGAAATTCCACTAATTAACCCTGATAAGGCACACCTGTGAAGTGGAAACCATTTCAGGTGACTACCTCTTGAAGCTCATGGAGAGAATGCCAAGAGTGTGCAAAGCAGTAATCAGAGCAAAGGGTGGCTATTTTGAAGAAACTAGAATATAAAACATGTTTTCAGTTATTTCACCTTTTTTTGTTAAGTACATAACTCCACATGTGTTCATTCATAGTTTTGGTGCCTTCAGTGAGAATCTACAATGTAAATAGTCATGAAAATAAAGAAAACGCATTGAATGAGAAGGTGTGTCCAAACTTTTGGCCTGTACTGTACCTTTACGTTGAGAACTTTACCTTAAGTACATGGTGATGCCATTTGTAGGGCACTTATTCATTAGGTATCACACAAATCATTGCGTGTGCATTTTTGTAAGATATCATATGAACTGTTGTATGAGGATATGTTGAATTTCCTGATGGTTAAGATGTTTTACAGAATATTTAGGTTTTTTCCCCTCCTCCCTGTGGTGATAACCCCGTCCGATTTGGTCTCCATATAAATGATCAATCATGCTATTATTTTTTTTTCTGTTGAATGACTTTATCAAAGGACTGATCATTTCAGGGCTTCAGCTGTCCTGCAAACTACTGAACAGCTCCACCGTTACGTCTGAAGGTCACTGCCTTGGTAAGGAGCACTCTATCAGCAGCTGGTGATGAACACAAAGGCTGACTTTGTGATATAAATCTTTCTTTTTGAACAGTCCCATGACCAGCCTACATGTCTGAGCTTCAGGCTGACATCTTCACCAATCAATGAAAACTCCTCTTCAGTGCACTGACCTTCTAACGATCCCGATGATAATGAGGTGGTCAGCTGGCGAGCAAAGTAGCTGACATGACCGCTTATGCTGAACCCTGCTGATAATGCCTCAGCGTCCACTCGATTCATGTCCGTACACCTCCTCTGATCTCTGAGGAGGATGTTCGTCTTGGTGCTGAGGAGGTCAGAGGTCATGGTCGCCCACGCAGCAGCATTCCCAGGAGCTGCTGGGAATTCAACAGCTTCTTCAAGGACACTTAAGTAGGGTGGACACGGGAGCTTATTCCTACAGTGGCACTGATGGTTTCTATGACTTTTATGTGACTTTATGTAACTCTTGATCCTGAGTGTGTTATTTAGCCTAAGATGTAGGAGATTTTTTTCAACACATAGAAGAACACCTTATCCTTCAGTTTATCACAAACATTCAAAATCAACACATCTTGAGGTTGCTACATGGTTTTCACTGGACAGGAAGGGTAGAAAAATCTGTTATTTGTAAAGTAAATAAACAACAAGCAACAGCAACAAATATAAAACCATAATATGGCCCTTAGGAATCATGTGAAACTACTGTGGTCACACATTGCAGCCTAATAATCAGCCCATAGAATGTTACCCCTTTTCTGTTCATGTTCACACTTATTGAATTTTTTAGGCTACATTTTTTTATTAACATTTTTTATATAAATTAAAAACATGCAAAAATAAAGCATTAATAATTTTAAATTCATTTCATAGGGTTAGATTTTTAACAGGGTCAAGTTTGATCAATGGTGTCATGGCTGACTGTTCAGTGTCACAGATCTACCTGCCCTGCGTTCCAATACCCATACTACCATACTATTTAGTATGCCAGAAAAAGAATTAGTGTGTCCCAATACATAGTATGTCAGATGCAGTATGCCAAAAGTACCAGGATGTTCTACTACATCCGGTCATATTTCGCAGTATGCATGTCAGCATGCTTCTTTGGCCATTCTGACCCACAATCCTTTGCGCAGCGGAAGTTACGTCACACTGACTGAGCTGCGTGTACAACCAACGCCCACACTTCCTTTCATACATGGTTTATTTAATTTGAGATACTAAGACACTACATATTAGGACTGCAATGATCTGGTTATATACTGTCACATATCATACAGTTTTGCAAGAACACAGTTACAACATTCAACTTTATTGTGATTATAGTATAATCAGTGTTAGGATTCAACTATGACTACAATATAGAAGATTCTACCAGTATAGGCAGTGGTGTAAGTGTGGTATAAATAATGAATGCATATGACTAAATATGAATACACTATGGGCCAGGTATGAGCAGTATAGACTAGTAAATATATAAATAGTAAAAGTCAAATACATATTAAGTAATGTAGTAAGAATGTGCAAGTGTGTTACACTACAAATAAAAGTAATGTGAATGTAAGGCTGCTTCACGTGCAGACAGAATATAGTGCCAGCAGCTGCACAGCTGTAAATATATTCAACATCAAACATCTGCCAGCAACAGAGAGCTATGTGTGAAGGGGGTTAATGTGCCTACTGGTGACTAGTTCAGTAGACAGGTCACTAATAATAGGCTTGGGACTGTTTACGTGAACACATCAGTTTATTAGAAACAACAACATATATTACGACATAACAGCAACAGAGCTCTCCGGCACCTCCGACGGTATGCGCGACTCTGGCGGGCTCGACGAGAGGAGATTGGCTGCATCTCCGAAGTACAACAAAACAAAATATTCAAATGTGGCGCTACGGACGGCGGCGGAGGTGAGCAAGAGGGTCGGAGTTCAGGGTGGATGTGATGGCGGATGTAGTGTGTCCCAATAGTATGCACACTGCATGCATACTGCATACTACGCTACATACTTTTTAAGGGCAGCTGCAGTACATACTAAAAGTATATAGTAGAAGTATGCGATTTGGAACGCAGGGCTGGTCACAGATATCGGTGTAACACCTGCCCAGCCAGTGCAGCTCCTTTAGCATCGTAATGATTGACAACATTAAATGGGGATGTTGAGGATAACAGGCATCGAGCAATGGAAAATAACGAGCGCCATTTAAAAGGTAATTAATTTAAAAGGTGACTTATTTGTTTGAGAGTTAATATTAAAAGTTTGAAGATGCTGTGTCACCTAACATTAAAATGTATAATGTTGTAGTTAGCTAGCTAGCACTAACTAAGCTTTACTAGCTAACAAATAACCACAGTTTGCCATAGTTTAATTAAAAAACAAGTTTGTTATTGGTTTTTGTCTACAAACCATGGTATCTACCACCATTGTTTTTATAGAAATAAAATGGTTGCACAACAAACACATGCTAATTTCAGCTAACGTTACATTGCTTGCAGTGCTTGCATTAGCCCATGGCATATTAAAGCTAGCTAAATCACGAAACTAGCTAAATTACGAAATAATGACGTTATGTAGTAAAATTTTGCAATTACAGTCACATAATTTGGAAAGACTGCTCGGTAGATTTGGTTATATTAAAACAATGTGAATAGCGATGTGTCAACAATATAAATATGGTTATACTGACTGATAATGGATCCTTGAGTTATTTGAGAACTAGCTAATTGTAGTGATAATATGGGTATTGACCAAGTCAGTGGTCTTAAAGGTGCTTCAGGTCAAGGACCCCTTCGCGACAGGGAGATGGACCAGGGGCCCCTTACTACATATACTGCGTAAAACTGAGTTGCACATTAAGCGGAATTTATACTTGTGCGTCGCCTACGCTGTTGTGAGCATTTACACATGTGCATGTGTCTGTGTCACTCTGCAGTTACACCCAAAACACCCAAAATACACATTAAACATGGCTTAATAGAGACAATTTCAAACACAAGTACACAAATTAGCTTCACTATAACTCGCAGTATTGACAGCCAGCACTTGTCTTTATCTGGACACATTTTCCCCACAAACACAACATGCTAATGTTAGTAGCACAAGCCTATGGCATTTTACATTGTAAAAATTAGCCAAGCAGCTAGTGATCTATTCCTCTGTACTTAAAAATCGAGGGACAATGGCAACACAAAGGTAAAGGTACATAATTTGTCTCCATTACAACTCACAAGGTTAACCGACAAAACAACTGTCTTATTCTAAACACGTTTTTCCCCACAAATACTGCTATATCAGCAGTCTTGACCTGTATTTGCTTTTTAAGTTGTTAAGAGAGGACACTCTACTCTCACACTCTTAAGTTGTTGCAAAAGGCAAAATACATAATCAAACATGTTTTAATTTCTGAAAAGAAAAAAAAAACGCTTTAAAAAATTACCAAGCAATAATTTAGTGCACCCCATGCAGTAACTCTGAGGACCCACTAGAGGTCACAGACCCCCTGTCAAAGACCCAGGGCCTAAAACTCGGCTACTTAACTCTATCTTAATCTGCTAATGTTTTAGAAATAGCCATATTTTTCCATTTGAAGGAACTGTATTTAATTTCACTCTTTTTCATTTGTAATACTTCATAGAATTGTTTAGCTGTGGTGGAACGTAACTAAGTACTTTTACTCAGTGTTACACAAGTAGAAATTTGAGGTACCTTACTGTACTTGTGTGTTTTCTTTTTCTATCAACTACATTTCAGAGGTAAATGTATGCTTGACTTTTTTATGTCTACATTTATCTGACAGCTTTTGTTACTAGTTACTGTAAAATTTTTTGCATACAAAACATACGGGGTATAAATGCTTATACATGTACAGTATTTTGAGTCATTTTCCATGCAAAAACATATGATGGTTCTAGCTTCATAAATGTAAGATTTGCTGCTTTTCCATTTGATAATTGTAAAGTATTAGTAATAATGTTGAAGTTTGGATAGTTGGTTCTACAAAAACAAACATTGTGAATGTGTCACTTTGGGCTCGGGGTCATTGTGACAACATTTCTTGCTTTTTTCTGAACATTTACAAACCAAACAATCAATAGATTAAAGGTCCAGTGTGCAGGATTTAGGGGGATACATTGGCAGAAATAGAAAATAATGTATTTGGTATGTTGTCTTTAGTGTGTAATCACCTGACAACAAGAATTGTTGTTTTTTCGTTACATTAGAATGAGCCGTTATATATACATAAGGAGCGGGTCCTGGTCCGAGGAGTCTGTCATTTTGTGCCACCATGTTTCTACATGGTAACGAAACACTGGCTCTAGATAGGGCTGTTTGCATTTTAGCGTTGGCCACTACTGTATATTTAATTGCCCCTGTGATGAGCACTGTCAGAAAAACACTTTGTTTTTTGTTTTTTTACACGAAACTGCTTTACTCAGTGTTTTTACCCTTCTAAATCACCGAGTCCATTTGTTTTGGAGAGGAAGAGACCTCTGGGGATAATTTGGCTCCTGGTAAAAACCTCCTGAAAGTCTGGGTCTTAAGTTATCAGAAAGAAAAGGGCAGCACACATTAACAGGTACTGGGCTAGCGACCCATCTCTAATGAGCCAAGCAGCATCAGAGCAACACAAATATATAAGGTGAAATTGCTTTATTGAATGGTTTTTATCGGTTGTCCTTTTTGTTTTGGGGAAGAGGAGACCTCTGTGGATAATTTAGCTCCTGGTAAAAACCTCCTGGGCATATGAATTCGAGATAAGGTGAGCACACATTACGTTATCAGAGAAATTAGGCGAGCGCACATAAGCAAACCGAGAAAAACCTGTGTTAGAGGAACCCTGCTTTGTAACGTCAAAGTGCTTTGTTCAGTGTTTTGTCAATTTTAATCACCTGGTCGGTTTGTTTTGGAGAGGAAGAGACCTTTGCAGATTATTATGCTTTCAGTGAAAACCTCCTGAACAATAAACACTAAAGGAATTCTTTCCAGGAGAAGTTCCAGCTAGTTGCAATCTGCAATCCTCACCTCACCCTAAATTACACACACTGCATCTTTTTAATGGAGAAAAAAATAATCAGATTAATCCATCATGAAAAAACTCATACCTAGAGCTTTCATTCTAGAGTACTCTTACTTTTAATACTCTAATATACTACACATAACTTTAATACGGATAAGCTGGAGTGATTTTGAATATAAACATTTTTGCAGATTAATTTACTATTTATTGACTATAAGAGGAATCATTTCAGTTCCACCCAGGTTTTTGTTTTGGCTGCTAGGTTTCTCTGCCTGAGGACGTTGTTGTAGATCGAAACGTTGCCTTGAAAGGAGAAAAAGAGAAATAAACTATTTTTTTGGGAGCCTAACAGTGTGCAGACCTCCTTTGTGCCCTGTTGTGAAGTATTTTCTGTCTTGCACGACATGTTTTTGCCTGGATGTGCACACACTTGGTCCCTCTTCTAAAGTTTCTTTTTGCCATGTGCTTCGGCAAAATACAACATTATTTTAAAAACGTGAAATCTATGAACGTGGCTGAATTTTGAGGTTCTTTGCCCTTTGTGGATGTTTTGTTGGTTGACTTCCCTTAAACTCTGTCCTCCTCACTCTGTTTTAGGAGCAAGTCAGGCGGAGTGGTTTTTAACAACAGCCAAAGTTGCCCTGGCTGTGGCTATAATGAAGAATAAACCCTCGGGTACGAGTAGCAGAGAATACCTTGAGGCTTTGGTCTGCAAGTTGAAGAGCCAGGATGAAAGCTGGAAGGAAAAAGCCCAGGGGCTGCAGCAGGAGGTGCTGAGGCTGCGGCAGGAATTACTGATCACCAGGATGACATCAAACACAAAGAGCACCACAGAGGCAGCAGGTTGGCTTTTCTCTGTGTATGTACGTTACTAAAAATAAGTAGAATATCAGTCATATAAGTAGGACTACCATAACAAGAAAATCACTTCTTAATTGGATTAAATGTAATGAATGTTTTTTGTTTTTGAATTGGCGACCCTCTGGTTCAACTGAGGTATTGATGCCTCCAAAGACTCTTTTTTCTTGCCTTTATTGTAGTGCAGCTGTAGATTGACAGGAAAGTGTTGAGAGGAGGAGAATGACAGGCAGCAAAGGGCCATAGATTGGAATTGAATCTGAGGTGCTGCAAAGAACTTGGCCTATACGGGGCACAGACTCTACCAGGTGAGCTGGAGGTTGCCAAATATATGTTCCCACACCGGGAGTTGAACCCGGGCCGCCTGGGTGAAAACCAGGAATCCTAACCGCTAGACCATATGGGACACCTGTAACAATGTCTTGTGTATGCTTACTTCACACGACAAGACTTAAGACTTGTTTTTCTACTCAATGTTGGCTTACAACTTGTCAGTGAGCTACAGCCAGTGAGAGCACAAGACATGTGTTGAGTGAAATCCCAGGGGAGTTGTAACATTAGCTGTAACATTAGGAACTGTAGTGGATGTGTTACACTGCAACATGGACCATAGTTGTTGTTGCAACTAGAGGAAAAAGACTATGTATATAAAGATTGACGGAAGCACGTGTGCCAACTGGGGCTATATTTAAAAAATTGTTTTTCCGGTTCAAATCAATCTTCATTTGAATAATGTGATATCGAATTGTAAAATAGATCTTCAATATAAATGTAATACAAATAAAAATGCAGCGTTTCCCATAGATGTGCTTTACTAGGCCGGCCTGGAAAAGTAAATTAAATCCAAATTCCAATTTTCACAGTGGGCTGGTGGCCATTGGCAGCACTTGCCTGGCCCTGAACGTTTTGAGTGTGGCCCTGAATGGTATAATTTTAAGTTATGCTGCACAGAGCGCCATTTGCTTGCTTATCCAATGTTTATTAAAATTGAACGTGTTGCTTGTCCAATTTCCACTAAAACCGAAACATCCTTGGGTCCCCAACAGAACATGTGCAAAGTGTGATGTAGATTGGATGGGCGGCTGTAAAGACATGCATACATACAGACAGAAAGACAGAGATCCCTTGCTTTATAGTTAGATTAAAAAAGAGAACATGAAAAGTCAAACTGTCACAACGTAAGATTTGTTCAAAGTTTTGCCCTTATAAAGCAGTTGTTTGAATGTAAATAAAAATGCATGTACTCTAGTACTGTATATAAATACTAATTTGAGGTGTTTTTATATTTCAAGTATTTTAATTTTATGCAACGTATACTTTTACTCCACTACATCTCAGACGGAAATATTGTACTTGACTCCACTGCATTTGTTTGACATCTTTAGTTACTTTTCAGTTTACTGTTTTATTTTTTTTTTTATCTCCTTCCTGTCCAGTGAAAACTATATATCTCCAAATGTATAGATTTTGCTTGTTTGTGATAAACTGAAGGATGAAGTGTTCCTTTAGGTGTTGAGGATATTCTCCTGCCCTTTAACCCTTTAAAAACCCTCTTGGATCAGCTGGAAAATGCATTGTCGCAAAGCTGAAAACAAGGCTGTTTTTCTGACACCATGAAAAGTTGACTTTTATAGATGCATGGTTCTCACAGGACGGCCAGGCTATAAACAAATCATGATCTTATGATGCATTGCTGTGGGTAAAACTATCCAACGGGATATAAAGGAGTTAAAATTAGCACAGCCTTAAACATCTACAGCCGTAACATGCAACATGGAATCATATATGATAGTAAAACACTGACAGGAACACTTTAACTGCACAGTCAATATTTTAATTTTACAAACTTTAAGTACATTTTGCTGATTATACTTACATACTTTTACTTAAGCAAGGTTTTGAATGCAGGACTTATTTGTAGTGAAGTATTTTCACAGTGTGGCATTAGTACTTTAACTCAAATAAAGGGACTGAATACTTCTCCCACCACTGTTAAAAAGTAGCACAAGTTTCAAAATAATTCATTCAGTGAGCTGTGGAGTAGCTGTTTCAACCGATAAGAGCGTCAGCTGAAAGGTGAGCTCGTGTCAAAAAGAAGTGCAGACAATTTTGTAAAGATATGTAAGCGTAGAGTGTGTCTTTGTCTGAGGAGAGGATATCTCAAGGACATTCATGTCTTCCTGACACTGAGCGAACTGTCCTGAAGTTATCTCACCAGGCTGCTAATGATTACAAACATAATTCTCAAGAGTGTTTAGTTTTCAGGTTTATAGCTGCTCCTCCCTCCTGCTGAACTGGTCAGTGTGTATTGTACAAACAGATTGGCTATTTCTTCCCATCAGACTGGTAGAATGTAGGAGTGTGATGATATTTCATGGCACCTAACCTAGTTATCTAAACATAAAGATGTTGATGACATGATGAATACAGCATGATGTCACATGTCAGTGTTTCCCTAATTCTAAACTCATCTATATCCATTATGAAATGGATAATAATTATATTTGCTGAGCTATAAGATTAGTCTGTTGAGTTTGAAATAATATCAAAACTGCTCCATAGCTCTGCTAGTTCTCAAACAGGGCGCCTTAAAGTCCAAAGAGATGAAAGCTAGAGCATCTTTAGGTTCTCTACTGTGACGGTTTTCCCAGATCCATGGTCCACACAAGATTTATGTGGTGTGTGTGTATATAATACAAGAGGGATTTAAATCAAATGCAGTGCAGATTAATATGACAGTTGTGGATAGCTAGTCGCTCAAAGTCTCATTTGATTGAATAAACTTTTGTTAATGCTCCTGAGTGCAGGATGAGTCATCCAACATTTGAAACCATTTTACCTGGTTTTACAGAAAGAGAAAATACAGGAATTTTTTGATGTAAAAATACGCTGACACTGATTTTTGGACATACGTATATTTGGTATATAGCTAGAGCTATATGGACACTTAACACACTGGGACACTGGGAAAATGTATTTACAATTTCGTGGTGATGAAGTGATGAAGGGTGTAATGAAGCTTGTTTATGATTGGTGGGCTGTGTGGTTCCATGTTGTTATACCAGAGTTATCTGCAGGTCTTGAAGTATTAAAAAGCACTGATTTCAGTTACTTTAAAACAAACAGGCCTTCAGAGGTCTTAAATTTAAAATGTTTTTGTCTGAGATTTTAGTAAAAAATAGCTTGAAAACCCTCTGTAATATTTCAGACCTCTGACCTAATGTAAAATTTATGGGGGCCTTCAATTTCTTGCAGCCAGACCACCGCTCAACCTGGATCAGTCTTGGTTAAGGTGCTGGAAACAAAAAAGTCCAAAAGCAAAGAGAGGATTTCCGCACACTTACATCTGTGCAATACTTCACTTTAATGTGAGCTTTCGGTCTAGGAGACCTTCATCAGAGCATACATGATTCGACAATGAATAGGCAGGTTAAAAGCAGGTCAGTCCTACTCTAATCATTGGCAGTATGCAATACACCTGTGTACAATCATCTGGTAGAGGCAAAGCATTCAGGGAATTGTAGTTTTGTAGTTCTTAAGGTTCTGGCTGTGAGGCCTACACATGGAGGCCTTCTCAAAATACCACAGAAGAATGTAACACAGTGAACAAAGAAAAACAATCAAAAAAGCACTTTTGAAGTACAGTAGTAAAAGTACAGTAGTAAAAGTCATATATGGTAAATGGGGCTTTGGAAGGGATCAGGAAAGGCCATCTTAAATCAGAGATCCCCAGATCCACAATAAAAAGACTACAAAAATAGAACAGAGTGCTATGGAGGGGTATCAGGCGAGGGCTGTCATGAACCATAGACCACAAGTTCTACAAAAAAACAGAAACAAGAACAAAGAGACATCCTGAATATTAGCCAGTAATGATTCTCTCTTAGAGCCATTGTGTAATTTTGTTGATTATTTTCTCAAACCATATGTTCAGAGGTTTCCTTCATACATTCAGGACTCTACTGACTTTATCAACAAGATATCTACATTAAAAGACTTAGCTAATGATATCATCCTGGCTACCTTAGATGTAGAAAGCCTGTACACTAACATTTCCCGTGATAGAGGTCTTGAGGCTCTTGAGTATTATCTAAAAGATCGTACTGAGGAAGCTCATCCTCCCAGCACATTTACTTGCGAACTGGCTATTTTGGTTCTTAAACTGAATTATTTTTCCTTTAATGGAGATTTCTTTCTACAATGTAAAGGGACAGCGATGGGTTCTACTTTTGCCCCAGAATATGCAAATCTGTATGTGGGTTTTTTTGACCACAGTTATGTTTTTGACATTAACAGAAACCCTTTTCTTCATAAGATCCTCAAATGGCTTAGATATCTTGATGATGTCTTTTGCATCTTCCAAGGTAACAGAGATGAGCTGACTGAGTTTGTTAATCTTCTTAATGGTATGAATCCTGACCTCAAATTTTCAGTTAATTTTGACCAAAAACGTGTGTCTTTTTTGGACATGTAGGTTGAATTATGCAATGGCAGCCTCATCACTACCTTGTATAAGAAAGACACTGACAAAAATACTTTCCTTTTAGCCAGCAGCGCTCATCCCAGAGCTCTTAAATATGGTTTACCAAAGAGTCAATTCTATAGACTAAGACAAATTTGTCACTCTGATGAGGATTTCACTGATAAAGCTGCTGCCATGAAAAAATGTTTCCTGGAGAGAGGTTACTCTGTACAGTGTATAGATGAAGCTTTCCAGGTTGCGTCTTCTAAAACCTGGTCCGATCTTTTACAAAAAAGTGTCAAAAAAGACAAAAGTTACTCTTTCTTTTATTAGCAAATATAATCCCCAGGCTTACATAGCAAAGAACACCATCTTAAAATACTGGCCTATTTTGACCTCTGATCCAACAGTAGCTCAGCATTTTAAGGATCCCCCCCTCTTCGTTTATAGACGAGGTCCAAATCTGCGTAATAAAGTAGTGCGGCTAATATTAAGGCAAGCCCTAAGCAGACTCTTTTAGCTCCTCTTAAGGATGGGAATTATCCATGTGGTCATTATGCCCAGTGTCACAACACATGGAGAACTCCTGTCTTTAGACATCCTCGATCAGGCAAAAGCTTTTCTGTTAAGAGTTTTATTAGAGATGGGCAGCACAAGCATAAACACTATTTGAAAATCATGGCAACTATTTGACAATTTTTCGAATCCATGGCAAGCCAGCCATGGAGCTGTGTGGCGCGGCGCCGCCGGTGTGGATGACACAATCGGTTAACATGGGCGCCGAAAGGAAACTGGCCTAGCTTCTCGAAGCTTTGAGGCTATTCGCAGAGCTTCCGAGGGAGGTGTGGCCCTGGCGTTACGGTCCCTCGCCGCCTCCTGCGTGCCTCGCTCTCAAATGACTGTGCATACTTGTTGTAGACTTGTGATACGCAAGCTTTGCGTCACAGAATTTGCACTGCACCTCATTTTCGTTTATTTTGTCGAAGTTGTTCCACACGGAACTTTCTGATGACTGTAGTAGTCTCTGCATGTTTCTCCTGTTTGTAGAAGAGCATCAAACTAGCTGGTAGCCCATCTCACACCGCTATAGCAATCCTATAATGCCCTAGTGCAGTTAGGAGCTGAATTGCATGTCAAATAAAGGGGGGGGGGGGATAAGACGGCGAATAGTAATAGTCGCATTAAAAAATCGATTTTTCAAAAATAAAACGACTATTCGAAATTCGAAAATCGTGACCCATCCCTAGGTTTTGTCACATGTAGTACAGAAAATGTCATCTATCTAGTGAAATGTCCATGTGATAAGATTTATATAGGCAAAACAACATGTATGTTAAAACAAAGAATTAGTGAGCATAAGAGCTCTATCAGACGTAATGATATAAATTATCCTGTAGCCCGTCGTTTCAGTGAGGCCTCTCATCCTGTCTCTTTACGTTTTCAGGGCATTGAACATTGAATTGCCAAGAGGGGGAGATATAGATATGAAGTTATGCCAAAGGGAGCTTTTTTGGATTGATACTTTAAATGCTTTTCAACCTACAGGTGTGCGGAAATCCTCTCTTTGCTTTTGGCTTTAAATTTCTTAAAAGGTTAATCTATCCATTTATCCATCTATTTCCTGATGCTTATCCAGGTTAAGGTTGTATTTAATGATAAATTAATTATATATTACTTGGAATTATTGTTACATACAGCTGGCAAGTGCTGACAAAAATGTGATATCAGTGTCAATAAATTCATGCACTTAGTAAATAAGTCCAGTATATAATAATACAATAATGTCCTGACTGGTTTTCACTGATATCTTTCACACTTCACCAAGTATGACTTTTTAAATGGTATTTAATTACATTCTGTTTGGGATTAAAATTACTTTAAAGGTCTTAAATTGAACACTGTGGGGGCGTCGGTGGCTTAGTGGATAGAGCAGGCGCCCCATACACAACGCTGTTGCCGCAGCGGCCTGGGCTCGACTCCAGCCTGTGGCTCTTTGCTGCATGTCACTCCCTCTCTCTCTCCCCCCCTTTCACGCTTAACTGTCCTATCCATTAAAGGCAAAATGGCCCAAAAAAATATCTTTAAAAAAACTGAACACTGTGAAGTCATTTTCAAAGTAAATATGCACAATTTGTATTTGTACTTACATCTTTCCATATCTCTGGTATTAAGAGGCTCCTCTCTCACCAATTGTTCGTCCTTCTTTTTGTCAAATGTAATAACTTGTTTAAATTTTGTTATCATTCATTTCTCAATAATAGCTGTCACTGTCTCCCAGTGGAGATTATGTCATTTTGGAACAACAGTCCACTCCATATAAAAACACACAGATATAAATGTTGTTGCTTTATGACAGCTTAGTTTCACTACAACACTTGTCCACCTAAATCTGAAACCTTTAGGGCTGAGGGAGACATTTAGGGCTGTGGCCTGTGAAAATGATAACCAAGGTCCACCTGCTCATAGAATTATGAGTTACCCCAGCTATAATTTAGGTTTTAGAAGCCCACTGATCTGATTTTAAGGCCTTAAACTACAACAGAGAGTCGTGGTCTGCCTTCAGAATGTTTACCTTAAAATATGCTTGTGTGAAAAGAATTTATATTGACTTACAGAAATGCATATTTGTTGGTGTCAGTCTCGTCCCCACTCTGGATTTTTTCGCCTTTGTGTTTTCCTTTCATATTTATTCAGCAGAAAAACATTTTACTTGCAGAGAAAAGTATTATTTAGCACCATTTTCCTCAAGATATGTGGTCCTGCTGTTTTGGATGTTTATGATGTTGTGTGAAAAGAAAAATAATGTTTTATAGAATAAAACCATAGAAGCAGTGAGTAGAATATAAACACTGAGGTTGACTGAAATGTCCTGATGATGACCACAGGGTTCATATTGGCAGTGATTAATTATGTGCATTGTGCTTTTATTAGCAGGGTCTAATTACATGAATATCACTTTGAATTAATATTATTCATGATCATTTGTATTATAATTCAATGCTGGCTTTTCTAACAGTCTTTAATAGGCTTTGTCTATCTGCAGTTACCTTTTGACTACAGCTATGGCTTATAGCATTAGTTCAAAAGATCATATGATCTGTGCTTTATTAATATGGTCTTTTGGTAGTGCTAAGAGTTGAGTGAATCAATCTTATTTAGCCTGACATTATCTCTCTGTTTGCCACACAGGTCAACATTTTAATAGCAACAAATTTCTCCTTCTGTGAGCCTTTTGTTCCTCTTTCATTGTGACATGCTCATTCGTTTTAATGACTCTTCATATGTTCAGTGTCACTGAGTGAGTCACATGCCAGACTTCAAAGAAGGGACATGCAATCGTAATGCAGATATGTGAAAATTTTGATTTTGCGGGTAGCTTTTTGGCTAAGTAAGATATGATAATACATCAGAATTTATTAGTTGAATGTAATTTATATTCATAATCTGAATCTTTAAAGTAACTAGAGGAATCTAAAATGTAATGGAGTAAAAAGGAAACATCTCTCTGAAATGTAGTGGAGTGGTAGTATAAGATAGCACAAAATGGATTTGCTAAAATTGTCACTTCATACACACCGTATTATATGAGACAAAAACAAGACTGTGGCACAGCAGCGACAACCAGTCAGAGCCGAGGAGTCTCTAATGCAGCTGTTAATCATGTCAATCAATGCTCGTGAACTGCGGGCAAAGTGTCAAATGAGGCAGGGCTGATTGAATATGAATCAAGATTCTGTTACTGCATTGCCTATTTCTTGCTTCAGATGTTTTCAGAAACAACAGTCAAACTGAAATGAAAAAGAAAAAAAACCCCAAAAAAACACCCACTTGCCGGACCAACTTCCTTACTTTCTCTTAAGGTTTCTGTGTAAAACCCTCCAGGCCATGATGCCACGATGGACGACACTTCGCAGTATCTGTTCGGTCCAGGAAGTGAGACGTGCAGCATAGACCTTCAGTCAGACTCAGAGACTCCTGAGCTCCTGCACCAGGACCCCCAACTTGCCATCACATCCCCTCAGCCATCAGTGACCTCCGGTTGCTACAGAAGTCTTCGTGGGAAAGCTATGCCTCGTCATGTACAGTTACTCCAGTTGCTGTGCACCCTACACCGAGTAAAAGGGAACAACAGAGGCCTGGAGTCACTGTGGTTCAGCCCCGATGGAAGTGCAGGGTCCCTGTTGGGGGACTCTGTGTGCCAACTCCTGGAATCAGTGGTGGCAGCATGCAGACATCTCTCTCCTCTAGAGCCCAGTGACGTGGTCCTTCAGGCCTGCCAGGTGGCAGCCCAGGCGATGGATCTCTTCTGCTCTCAGAGGCTGCCGTCTGTGGAGTTCATGGGACGTGTGGAGGAGTGTCTGAGAGAGCTCACCGGGCTGCTGCTGCACAGTAATCAGCTCAGCAGGGTGAGTAACAGGATCCATGGGGAGGGAACGTTTGCATGCACACAGTATTTCCTTATCAATTTGGCCACAGCTGGAAAATTACTCACACAGTCAGAGCAGTTTAATTAACGAGAGAAATTGATCTGGGTCTTTTTTAAAAATCATATATATATAAACATACAAACAAACAATGCTGTATCAGTTCTTGTCACACCACAACTCAGTTTCTCACGGATGGCTATTATTTCTCCTCAGTGTTGTCTTATTCTGGTATCTTGGGCACTGAGCAGGAGCTAAATTATAAGACTGTGGTCTGTCAAATGCTTATGAATTGTATTTTCAGTCTCATCAAACTGACATAAGGATCCCTATTTATGTTGCAGAATTTGAACTACTTAGCTGCGTCATGTTCACTGTCTGTGTAAGAAAGTTTCTTCAACATTTGCCTACACAGGAGGCCAACCTAAAACTTACTCTTAACATTCTACCTATAAAGATAACTGTTGTGCATATATTTTTTTAATACAAGTAATACAAACCTCAGAATGTATCCCTTTATATCAGACATCTCGAGTCACCTCCTGTGAAGTCTAAATGTGGCTATTAAAAGTCTGCTGCATGATAATGAAAATGCACTCCAGTGATGGCAGAAAGATAGTATCAAAACAAAACTTTAACTCCTCTGCCACAGCAGGTGTAAAGATCCAGCATAAGATAAAATGAGGAAAAAATGTAACTAGTATACAAACAAAAAAGAAAATTTGCACTAAGTAGAAAACAAAGAGAGAAAGCACGGCCAGGCCAGGTTGTAGTGATCTGCCTTAGCATGGTGTAGGTGCAGGGAATTTAACATTCAAATCAACCTGACATGAGTTGAAACAGTAAATAATGATACAAATCATATTCCAGGAATATGTATTTTCAGGGAACCCCTGTCTTCATGAAGTTTTACTCTATAGATTAAAGCTGCTGCAGATGAAATCAGTCACCATATTGGTCACATTCTTTTATTACCTCTGGACATCCCTGGAGTAACATTAGTCTTTTTGTAAATAGGGCTTAGGGTGCCTACGTGTCAGTTGCAGTAGTTTGAGTACATTACCTTCGACCAAATTAAGTTTTAATACTTCACAATTTCCCACGAGCATCATTAAAGATTGATGATGTTTTATTTTATCAAGGCAAGACAATATTATTGGTGTTTGTGTAAAGAAGATGTGTTGACTCAGCGTAATGTATTCAGCTGCTGCAGCCCAGAGATTGTAGGCAAATGTAAGAATTGATAATTTGTCTGCTGAAAACCAAATAGCTTGAATATAATGGGCCAGACAGATTCAAAGGCAGCCGCAAATAGGGTGAAAAAATGCTGGAGTACTTGGTCTATAAAATGACTGAGAATAGTGAAAAACGCTCATCACAAGGTGACATTAAATCATTGTTGCTCAAAATCTGGCCCACAGGCCAATGTCGGCGATTTTGTGCTTTCTCAGAAAGGGACATGAATCATCCATTGTCCATTTCAATGCCTTCACTTTCAATAGCTTACATATAATATACCACTCTGCTACTGCATTGAACGGCGCCCCCTAACAAATGTCTTGTCAGGTCAGGGATGACAAACTTTAGAAAACTACTGGTTGCGTGGCAACTAGTGTCACCTCACAAGTGTTGCAGGAATTACACTCTGTCATCAGTGCTAGTGCCGTTCACCAAAATCAGCAATTTAGGTGGACAACTCACTACTGCACTTTTTCTCTGTGACCCTCACTCAAATGCTGGCTCCCTAAATTTGCACTCAAAACTTTAAGCAGCCCTGCTTTAAATATACAGTTCTTACTATCTGCAGTATCCGATGATGACAGTGGATACAGTGATCAACCACTTGGATTAATAAGCTTGGAACAGAATCATACCAATACAAATGCTGTTTTAATAATTTGCTTACAAAAATAGTCTACTGACAGTGTTTATTTGAAGTCTTTTCATACATGACAACATATAGGAAAACATTTTAAAACAAAAACTGCTGTTACACCAAATCTGGCGTTGTAGCGAAAACATAAGTCCTCCTGTTCATTTGAATATGGATAGTGCATCATGCCTGTAGTGGTGAAGCTGCAGGGGATGCAGAAAAGTTAAACAGAATGAATTTTTAGTTGAATTGCAACCCAACGTCACAGTGCAATGACCAATCACATAGCCAGCGATCAGACTGAAAACACCCACAGTTCACCAGAACAAGTAATACAGAATCTTTCTATTGTTAAATGTTAGAGAGTAAAAGAAATAAGAGCACTTGTTTATATCTGCACATACACATGTCTTTTGTGGCAATAAAGATACTACAGTGATGATAATACACAGGAGATCCTTAAATCTTTTAAGCCAACATAAACAAATTCACCAGAGACAATTGCTGAGATGGGAAAATTGGCTTTTCATAGTTGGTCCCCGCCCTGCCTCCCTCACAAAATGGCCATTTAAAGCCTCTTTCCCACTGCACAAAAAACCCACTAACACCTACTGGCATCTGTCTTTAGTATTTAATGGGAAAGCTTAAAATCAGCATTCACTCCTGGGTCAAATGACTTTGCAATAGTCATGAAAACTCTAGCTTTGATCTGCTGTGATCAGCAGTGATGGAAATATGACACCTGTGGATGTGCTAATTATAGTTCCCTTACTGGCAAGATGCAATGACATGCCACTGAAAAGTATTATCTGTTTCCGCTAGGGTTGGGTACCGTTCATAATTGAACCGATACGGTACCGGTACCAGTATCTGGAATTTGGTACCGGTACCAAACGGTACCTTATTTAGGTACTTTTTAACCCTATGGGTCCTAGGCCTTTTTGGGGTATTTTTACTGCCTTTACTTTTAAGCTCATATCACAGTCATTATAAAGGCTACATACACATGCTATATCATGCTATCGCTGTTCTTCTATGTGCCTGTATTTTATATTAATTTTTATATCAATGAAAAAAACAAATCTGTGTGCCTAAATTCTTACATTTTTACATGTATCTCAGCATAGAAAGTTGGAAAAAGATATATTCTACCATATATGAAGAGGGGAGACTCTCTGGAATCTGGCAATGTAAGAACCATGATACTGGGACATTCTGTCACTTCACAGTTGTCCAAAACATGTGGTTTGTGCCAGGTGGACATGATTGCCAGAATTTTTTCATTATTGCAAGAAATTCCACTGACTCATTCACAAGTCAAAAATGTGTTTTAATCTGAAAGAAACATGCAATATTTACATCTAAGATCATAGAAAAATAGTCAACCAAGTGCAATGATGTCCTCCAAGATAATATTTATTTTTCAGTTTCAGTTATATATTGGGGAGACATTTTGGGCATTGGTGGGGGGGCACGTGTCCCCCTCAATGTATATGGTAACTACTGCCCTGTCAGCATGCATTAGGCTGCAGTTGTCTGGGTGCGCAAAGGTGAAGTGGCTGGTCTTGTCATACAAAGTTTGATGGAGTGTCAACTGGACAATATGGAGATATTTGCATCTTGAAAGCCAGACTACAAATGTGGATAGACAGGGAGAAACACAAGCAAGCCTAAGACGTGGTAAGATATGATATTCCTCACTATATGAAGTGACTGACAACAAGATCTGTATAATGGATTGTAAAGAAATTCGTCAAGTTTTTATTTTGTAGACAGTTGATCTGTATTTAGAGCGTGATGGGATGACAGCACAATGATGTGTGTGGTCCTGCGCTTTCATGTGATATGCGTGGCATTTCTGTGCGAGCCTGCGTTCGCGAGTAATCCATCCAAGAGTAATGTGTGTGCAAAGCTGTATGAAAGCTTCGTTATACATCATTTTATTGTAATTTTTCGCTGTGAAAACATTGGATTACCAACAAGTGCAAGTGCTTGGCCTTGTCGGAAAGCTACAATTCTGCTGTTTCCGTTGATATGCGTGGCTTCTCGCTATGACGCATGGTCGCGGAGAAAATCCACAGAGAAGAACGGGTATGAATTTGGACGCACTATGCATCGTTCGGGCCCATAGTCTAAACTTCTCAGTTTCAACATTTTATTGAGAACATTTAGGAACAGTGCTGCACATTAACTTATGTCTGCACATTGTTTTTGTAGCCATTGTTGCTGAGTCTGAGGTGAGAGTCATGCGCTCTCGCTCCGCCTCCACCTCAGGTACCGAAATTTGGCACCGTTTCATTTTAAGTGAATCGGTACTGGGTAGTACCGACGTGAATCAGTACCAAGTACAGAAAGTACAGAGTTTCGGTACCCAACCCTAGTTTCCCCCCAAACGGTGCTCGAACATAAGTCCAAATTTAGTCAGCACCGAGTTTGAGAGAGAGACTGAATAAGTAAGTGATACATAAAAGAAGTAACCACTATAACATTGTCACTGGCCTTGAGTCTGCTTTACTGTTTGCTAACCTGTTTTCAGGCATGAGTGACCCTTCTACAACAGCACATAGCCCTGTGGCTAATTGCTGCAATGTCTGATTTGGTGTGAATGTAGCCTAAACCTACTCAAACGAGAAACAGTCATGGCACCCAGTGATGGAGACAGAAAATGAAGGCGCATCAGGAAAACACCTATGGTTAGAGTCGCCCTTGTCAGGTGGATTGATAATGCCTGGACATGTAATGCCCCTGTAATGAAACAGCTTTACTGTATTTTAAAAAACAAATGGCGAAGCTGTCTGTTTAATTACATTATATTCATGTAATATTCATACAGATGTCAGTTAGATGGTAATCTGCATGAGACATAAAGGAAAGAAAAGGTTATAATCAATTACACCTGGACAGATGTGATCAACATAGGTGGTTTCCACTGTACTAGGTAGTGTATTGACTTTTAAAGGAGCAGCAGCTTGCCACAATTTTTCTGTGAGACGCCACATGCTCTACCTTCATAATATCTCCGCTTAAACCTTTATTACCTTTGAAATGTCATCGAGAATATTTTCATCACAATAAAGAAGGAGAGAAGTATCCTGTATCATTAGACTCA